TGAATTTAAAAGAGCAAATGGGGAAAGGAAATCCTTTCAACAACAAATGGTGCTGAACATCCATATGGGGCAAAAAAGTACTTAGAGACAGACACAATTCACAAAAATGAAATAAAAATGTATCATAGATCTGAATGTAAATCACCAAGCCATAAAAATTCTAGAGATAACATATGAGAATTCTAAATTACGTTGGATTTTGCATGAAGTATTTATAGACACAACACCCAATACATGATTCATGTAAAATAAAATTGGTAATGTGGACTTTATTAAAAACTAGAGGCCCGGTGCATGAAATTCATGTGTGTGGGGGGGGAGGGTCCCTCAGACCAGCCTGCACCCTCTCCAATTGGGGACTCCTTGGGGGATGTCCAACTGCCAGTTTAGGCCTGATTCCTGTGGGATCAGTCTAAACCAGCAGTCAGACAACCCTCTCACAATCTGGGAGTGCTGACTCCCAACTGCTCGCCTGCCTGCCTGCCTGATTGCTCCTAACTTTCTGCCTGCTGCCTGATAAAAAAAAAATGACCTGGTTACCCCTAACTGCCTCCCCCCCTGCCAGTTTGGTCACCCCCTACTGCCCGGCTTGCCTGCCTGATCCCCCCTAACTGCCCCCTCCTCCCGGCCTGATCTCAGCCTTAACTGCCCTCCCCTGCCAGGATGATCACCCCTAACTTCCTCTGCCTTGGCCCCCACCACCATGGCTTTGTCCGGAAGGAAGTTGGACATCTGGAAGATGGCCCATTGACATGATCTGACTAGCATATTACCCTTTTATTAGTATAGATAGATTATATAGGATAGGATTGCTTAAAATGGGGGAGGGGAAGGCCTTTTTCATCAGGAGGAGATGCTCTTAGCAGACAAAAATACATAATGCCTATATCTGGACTGATAGCCAGCCATATGCAATATACTGCCAAACCAGTCATTAAAAAATTGAACTGCTTTCTTACACCTTACACCAAACAGCTGTTGCCCTTAAAACCCCTCCTCAGCCCCCACCTTAGGTTCTGCCTTCGCAGTTCACCCAGATTAGGTTCTGATTGGTTGGTTTCTATGCCAGTCAGTGTCTCTGGGTCTATCTCCGGGCCTGATCAGAGAGGCAGGGCTGATCCACAGACCTT